ACCTGGTGCTCATGTTGAAAGAGATATTTTATAAGGGAGTTGGGGCTTATGATTATTAAATGTAAGATGATACTTCTGAGCAAGCATGATCATTTTCTTGTGTCTAAGGATAGGGTATTGAGGGTTCATTGTCCAGATGGGTTCTGATTGCAGTACAGTGGACGGGTCCCCGGTGTGATGTGATCCTTTCCTTTCTTAGTGTATGATCTGGATCATTTAGTATGTAGGGTATGACTAATCGGTAGCCAATTTTTGGGCATTGACTTGTTTCTATCAGACCCAAAAAGAGAATCAGAGGGGCAGTGAGTTATCGGGGTTTGTTATTCAAATGACAAATAACATGGTAATATCTTGAGAGGGCGTTCTGGCAGTGAGACAGGCCACTAGAGTTTCCAGGTTTTGGAGAGTCAGAATGTGTATCGTAGCGGCATAGGGGTCTATCCTTTTCTAGGTTTGGGAGTTCCTGTTTGGATTCAGGTGTCCCTGGAGGAAGATAGTTGTGTGATATGAGATCCTTTCGGTGGTGCTTTCGATTTATTGGGTTCGATTAATGTGTTGTTAAGGAGCGATTTCGAGAGCGAAATCTAATTCAAGTGGGGGAGAATTGTAACATCCGAACTTCCAGGTATATTATTTGTGTCTTTAATTTTTATGATTTATTGAGTGACTCGACGAGTTGTGAGTCCAACTCGTCGAGTAGATTCGAGTTGACTGCGTGGGATTAAGGAATGGACTCGACGAGTCAGAGAGTCAACTCGCCGAGTTGGTGCTGCGTTGTGAAACCCTAATTTCCCGGGGTTGGGGCCTATATAAGAGAACTTATTCCCCCATTTCTGCCTCACTAGATGCCTAACCTTCCTGTGTAAAACCTTAAACGTGTGTAGTGAGCTAAGAGAGTCTAAGAAGCTAAACTTGGAGTAAATTAGTGCATCTTTTGAGGAGGAGAGGAGATTATCCATCAATGAAGGAAGAGAATCGGGTGGATCTAGTGCATCTTCATGCAAGGACTTCAGTGGGAGGTAAAAGCTTGCACCTTTCTCATTTATTTGACTATATCTCATTATTATGGAAGATTACAGTTTCTTCCACCTTTTGTTGGGACTTTGAGCATATAGAGTTATCATGGGTTTAAACCTTAGATCTAGACCTTATGAGGTCCCTAGAGTCCAAATGTCCCAACTTTATTCATCTACATGAGTGTTATTGTGTTTAAAACCTTGTGAGAGCAAGTTTTGGTATGTTGGAGAAAAATTACCATGCATGAACGTAAAGATCGAAGCTTTACGTGACAACTGAGTCATGAGATGCTAGATCTAGTGTTTAAAGTGGTAGATCTGTTTTGAGTCAGTTGAATAAGGAATTAGTTTGAATAGACTCATCGAGTCGATGAGCCGACTAGACAAGTCGGTGAGGGTTTGTCCCGATGGGTTTGATCATGCGATAACTCGACGAATTGGGGGTTCAACTCGACGAGCTAAGCTGGACCTTCATGAGACTTCTGAGGAAACGAGTGGACTCGATGAGTCACATGGGTGCACTCGGAGAGTTGGGTCAAACGTGGACTATTGACTTGAGTTGACTTTAGGGTTTGGTCAAACATGAGTAATGGAGACCATGGAGGGGTAAAATGGTCTTTTATCCACCTCAAGAGTTAGAGAGAGAAATAATAGCATTCGGTTTATTAGAGTCATGATAAGAGCATTAATTAGAGATATTCATCCTTTGTGTTAGGCGGAGGCTAGTTCGAGATTCGAGTATGAGGTTATTTGCTCACTTGCTTTCCAAGTTATTCTTCTCACTATACTTACCATGAGTGGTATATTTGTCTGACTGAGATGTCTTATGTTCATACATTGTGTATTGTGTATCTTGTATTATTTCTTTGTGCTTTATGTTGTGTATTATTCAGAGCTTACAGAGTTAGGACTGGAGGGTCCATGAGAGTTGTAGGACCGGAGGGTCCCACTGAGACACATTGACCGGAGGGTCTTACTGTGTTATAGCCTCGAGTGGCTACAGAGTTGTGTGTGTTACTTTGGGGAACTCACTAAGCTTCGTGCTTACCGTTTTATGTGTTATGTGTTTCAGGTGTTTCTCAGGATCACAAGAAGGCACCGGCTTGATTGTACACACCAGTGAAAGAGTTATGTTTTGAGGATACTGGATTTTTATCAAACAATTATGGAGTTATGATTTGTAGACTAAATAAATGAGATTTTTGTGAAATATGTTATGAGAATTATGTGGTTTTAAATAAAAATTTTATTTGAAAATTTACGGTGTTACACCGTGAGTAGGACCCATCCTACCCACCACTTGCTCTTGATGTGATCTCCTTTTCCTTTTATTTTGTGTATGTAGGCTTAACCCCTCGATTAAGTAATTACACTACTCGATTGGGGTTGTTATGTAGTTTGACTTTTATCCCATGTACTGTAGGCCTTATAAAGGCCAAATTTACATGTAACATGTACGAAACTTTTATCAGTAATGAAACAAGTGTGTTTTATTTGTGATGTTGTTATCTGCTATGTTTTCTATTCTCATTATTTATTGACATTGTATGATTTCACTTATAAGCACAAATCGAATCACCGCAACCACTAGACAATAATGGAATCCAAATAAAAACTATCATATACTCATCATTATTCTGTTCCATGACAGAAGATGCCTCGAATGTATGTTCGTAGAAACAACAACACATCACCACCACCGCCGCCTCCGCCGGAGATAAACTCTGATGCACTCCAGGCAGCAGTATCATCTGCAATTACTGCAGTGTTGGTTCACATCTACAACGGTAACAACGGGGGTGGCAATGGTCAGGGAATGGGAAGTTCCAATCATTGAGTCAATCAAGGATTGACAAGAACATGCACCTATAAAGATTTTACCAATGCGAAACCCAAAACATTCAACGAAACTGGTGGAGCGTTAGCTTTAACACGCTGGTTTGAAAAAACTCAATCCATCTTTGAAATTTGTGATTGTCTGGAAGAAAGAAAGGTGAGGTTTGTTGCATGTACATTTGTTCATCGGGCTTTATCATGGTGGAATGGCCATGTCAAGGCATAAACTCTTCAAGTTGCAAACTCTCTGTCTTGGGTGGATCTCAAGGCAATGATGTTGGCTGAGTACTACCCTCGTGGGGAAGTAGAAAAGCATGAACAAGAACTCTGGAACCTTACTGTATAAAACTCCGATGTTGAAGCCTATATCGCTAGGTTCAGTGAGTTGGCACTCCTATGCCAAGGATGATAACCTCCGAAGGTAAGAAACTCTAATGCTTTATTTGGGAGTTAACTCCTCCAGTTCAGGAAAACGTGATAGCTGCCAACCCTGAAACGTTTGATAGTGTTAATTGCCTGGCGCAAAAGTTGTACGATCATAGGAACAAGAAGGGCACCAAGACTTCATATGCAGAGACCAAGAAAGAAGGAAACAACAAGTGGAATAAGGGAAGTAAAAGAAAGGGGGACAAGCTTCACATTCTTCTAAGAAGCAGCAAATGGTAGCAGTTCACGCTGCTACCATTCAGACCATACAAACCCCAGCTGCAACCACTACAACCACCCCAACACCTATCGGGGCGTGCAAAGACTTCCAATTTACAAACTACAATAGAAAAGGGCACACTGGCTGGTATTGCAGAGTGTGTTGGATTAGGTGTCTAAGTTCATAACTATTTCTAGAATGTACTTGACCTGATTGGCATGGTCCATTTGGGTGCATGGCATTGCAACACTTGGATAGACTAGATGAGAGAAAGGACACTTAAGGATTATTAATATATTATATGTTCTAATATATTAATAATATTATTTAATTAGTATTGATCAAGAGTTAATTTAGAACTAATTAAGTGATCAATAAGAGACTAATTAAATATATGGGGTTGATTGTGTAAATCATCCATTCTTGTATAGTGGGCAAATTATCCATGGTTTATATGAATTGGACTAAACCCATAAGGAGCTCCATGGATAGTACATGGAGGTTATAAACCCATGGATCATGGAATATGGAAAGCCATGACAATTAGGCTTTACATGGTGTAACCCTACTTGTAACACAACTATATGAAGACCCGAAGTCTAGCAAAATCGGCCACTATAAGCAAGTACAAGAGGGACAGCCGAATTTTGAGTGTTAGTGAACTTCTCTCAAGGTTATTCCAAGTGTTGTGGTGTTGTGTGAGAGATTTGAGGCATCACACTTGAGGTGCTAGGCTTACAAGGTTCTCAAGGAATCCAAACAACAAAAGGTATGTTCTTCTACTAGCTATTATGTTTAAAAGTTCCCCATGCCATGCTAGTTAGGTTAAGAACCTTGGAAAATCAAATTTGCATGTATCTTAGTAAAACATAGATCCAAGGTTTCTAGTATTGCATGTACACCTTAGGAGTGTTAGAATTCTCACAACCCTTCAGTGGTATCAGAGTTTGGCTTGTTTACTTGATACTTGATGCAAACTTGTTGAAAAAACTCAAAAATGTGCAATATGTTGAGTGAACTCGTTGAGTCCATGGGGGGACTCGACGATTCACTACAAGAAAACAGCCCTTTAATGACGCGCAAACAATGACACGCGCTGATAGAGGACACGCATTTTTGAGTGCCCTAAAAAATAATGTATGTTTTGCAAAATATGAAGGATAGAGGACACGTATTTGTGTGTACCCTAAAATTAGTGTCAGAAAAGAAAAAAATGAAAATGCGGAGTGCGCATTTCATAAAATGTGTGTCATCTAAGTGTGTCGCTTTATAATTTTGTAATGAAACACACGTTTTAATCGGGATTTCACCCACCTATTAGATCCCAAAAATTAACCCCCCCCCCCCTGCGTCTACCAATTAGCAAGAAAAAGCCCTAAGGCGGCCTTCGTCTTCATAGCAGAATTGCTCTTGCTTTCGCGATCAAATGCCTTGCGATGACGATTGTTTTGATGTTTCTAATATTTATCTCAGTGTTGTAAGCCACTATAGGGGCTGGTGTTATGCATTTTCTTTACTCATTGACTCATACGCATTCTGCAATCAGGGAGCTGAACTCATGGAGTCGACAATTGAGGGGTCTACGACTCCTCACACTCAAAACGCCAATGATTTTAAGGTTTTTTGTCCCCGATATCAAAGAAGGACTTGGATTTTATGTTCTAGACCTCACAAGTGTGCACCTAAGAACTAGCGCTTTTATATCAGCATGTTCAGGAGAACAACGATATCCGCTCTTCCTCCTCGAAAGGTCAATTTTAGGGTTGCAAAACTATATAGCTCCCATTAGACTAGCATCATGTTCTTCGTGTACTCTGCTTGCTTCAACTTCTTCGTCTTCCTCCATTTTCACCAAGTTTAGATCTATGCCCCATCTGGGCTTTTCATTGTCAGTCTCTACTGTTGCAGTTCCTATAAATCCATTGTTCTGTTCTCGAAGAGGAAAACGTATGGCTCATACAGTAGCCACGACCACTCTTTGCCTCACCCATCCTGCCGAAATCGAATCCCCCAAGGTACCACTCTCAAACTTGATCTTTCTTTTGACTTATTAACATCATTAAACTGTTCAACGAATTGCTTATTAGTTTGTGTGCGTCTATCTCCCTTTGTTCTGAAACACGAAAGATCTCTTTCGGGTCTTGGAACCAAACGGGTCAGCTTAATTGGGCTTGGAAAATCCCCAATAACTTCATCTTCTTCCATTTCTGCTTATCGATGTCTTGGTGAATCTATTGCTTCATCTGCCAAAGCTTCTCAAGCTAACAATGTCGTTGTTGCTCTTGCTTCTTCACATGACTTAACTTCTAAATTGAAGCTTACAACTGCCTCAACAATAGCAATTGGTATATTCCATTTAAGAATGACGTTGATCTTTATGTGCATTTATAGTGCCAAATCTTGACCATAGGTCAAACTGGACAATTACATTCAAAGAATATAATTTTTGTACTGCATTTATATTAAAAAAAAATTCAACATGTTTTGGTTTTACAGCTTGAGGAGTTCCTTAAAAAGAAAGTAGCAGCTAACAACTCAAATCACAATGTTCAACAAATCCTTATACAATAGTACAAGCTATTAATAAGTCTTCTCTTAATATACCTTCATCTTCTAACGACTCAAATCACAATGTTCAACAAGTCAATGGCTCAACATACAGAGGTAGGTAATTAACTAATTATTAATTAATATGCTATTTCATCTGATCTCATATTCTTATAAAATCATGAACTTGATCACCTTTAAATCTTTCAGATTCTTTGTTTGAAGTTGTGAAATCTCTACAATATCCTCCAGTTTTGGATAGGAACCCTAGTAATGTTGTTGATCATCTAGTATCTGAAATCAACTCTGAATCTATATCTAGAACCTTCAGATATGAGGCTGTAGCCTCAACATGATTACCTTCAAGAAGATCACGTCCATCTTTTCTGTATTCAATTCTTCCAAATGTAGAAACAGATAAAGAAATTAATCCATTCAGTTCAAAAGTTCACCTTGTTGATGCTCCTCCTGTTACTTAAAGTTTTATTTATTTATATATTTATTTTATATATCTTCTTAATTTCATTTTTTCGATTATAGGTGCATTGTTAGGGACATATGAAGATAACAGATTTAAATCCGAGTCAAAGAAACCTTCTCTCAAGTCAATTGACTCTCTTAACCTTGGAGGTGGACCCGAGTTAGAAAAGAAACTCAACTACATAGAGCATATTTTCTCAGGGGTAATTTTGGGAAAAGAGCTTGTAAATGCACCTCCCACTGTACTTACCCTTGGTTCGTTATCCTTCTCATTTTCAATTGTTGATAGAGACATAGAGTTAAAATATAATTTTTCATTTTTCTTTTTTAATAATTGTAACAGGGGTATTAGCAGAAGAAGTTGAAATTCAAGATAACAGCAATGTAGGCTTATTGTAGTTTCACATGCATCATCTGTAATGGCGATAAATTCTTATTATGTGTGTGATCAAGAGCCCGATCTTGTGGAGGCATATTGTAGTTTCACATCAATCTTTCTTTGCAGCTGTCCAAAGGTTAAATTTACTATCTCTTTAGGATATATTTGTTAAATTGACTCTGTGAAAAAGACGTGAATGCCCTTATCATATAGGGTTTTGATGCATTACATTTACAGGAAGTAGTAGCTTCTTCTGGTCCTCTTCTTGAAGTTTTGCTTCAGAAAGCAGCCATATGTTGTACAGCTATGCATCGTGGAGCAGCACTTGCAGCAATGTCGTATATATCTTGTGAGCATCTGCAACTACATTTAATAGAATCTATTATTGCAATAACCTCTCAATAGGATTTTCCTCCCTTACAATTAATTATATTATATTTTGTCTGTCATTTTAATTTTTATAGAAGTAATGAAGGAGAGTTTGGGGGTATTTGTTTGTGTTGTTATTTGAAGGTGATGAATGTGAAAATTTTGAACTAGTCGTTGTTGTGTTGTGTAGGTTTTCTTGAGTTTGGGGTGAGTTCATTATTGGAATCGGTGACATACAACTCTGCATCCATGGTGGTTCAAGTAATATCACATAGTAGGGAAGGGATTGTATCAAATGTTGTGTATGCCTTACTTGGTGTTTCCGCAACAACAACAACAACAACAACAACAACAACAATCCATTAATTAAATTTAACACAACAAGGATTATATGCAAGAAATAGCTACGTACTATCTCATTGATTTGTTTATTTACAACTTGTATTTTTAACTTGAAAAGAATATTTTTTTTGTTTTTTTTCCTTGTAGGTTCACAAATCTACAACTATCTTGCAACAGTTGGCGGCCGTATGCAGGTTTAGTGAAAAAACAAAATGGAATTCTCTTCTCTCTTGGGATTCTTTTTTTGGTGTTTGGTTGTCTTCAAACATACAAATCTGCAACTATGAGGGAGTTGTATGAGAAGTCAGCAAAAATGGAACGCGATCTTCATGGAGTAGAAGCTATGTGTGCTGATCTTATACAATTACATGATGATATTAAGGAGTTGACTTCTACACGCCAAAAACTTACTAGTCAAGTTCAGGGTATGACTCAAGATCTTGCTAGAGCTACTGCTGACATGCAGCAAGTCCCAGGACTAAAGTTAGAAATTCATGGGCTTAGATAAGAATTAGAACATGCAAGGTGACTTCATCATTCATGTTCCTATAAACATGTTACATTGCATATGGATGATGTAATCAAATGATATTTCCTTCTTGAAGGGCTGCAATTGAACATGAGAAGAAGGGGCATGCAGAGAACTATGAACATGGTCAAGTTATGGAAAGGAATTTACTCTCTATGGCTTGTGAGGTAGAAAAGTTGCGTGTTGAGATGGCTAATGCTGAAAAATAGGTCCATGTTGGTGCCACTATAACTGCAGCCAATCAAAATCCAGGTAGGTCATCACTTGTGTTTCAATGTTGTTGATGGTTCTTTTAGGAATTTATCAGTGCTTGACTTCTTAGGTGCTCTTCATATACATGATATAACCCAAATTATGTTAATGCTGAAGCTAAATATTCAGGGAATCCTTACCCTGCAAGTTATGGCATTAGATCCATGAATAAAATGAATATTCAGGGAATCCTTACCCTGCAAGTTATCTCATTTTCTTAGTTTCTTTCTTGGGGGTGTTTCTTTTTGGGTCTCAATTTTTTTTATTACTGTTGCAATCAGGTGCAGCATGTTGTAGAAGGTTACCCTCAATATGGGCATGGGCCTGGATATTGGGGATCATTTGATATTCAAAGGGCTCAAGGACACAGATAGAGTGATAGACTATCACATGCTAAGATGTGGACTCTTATGGTACTTTGAATTGAAGTGTACATTTGTTTAAAATGTTATCTTATATAAGACCCTTATTACATTATTATTCATGCTATTTTGGATATTGTTGTCCTACAACAAATGCTAGCAGTTAAAGACTAAAAAAACTGAGGTGAACAAAGAAGAAGGAAAACATAGTGATGGTGGTGAATAAATCAAAGAAAAAGTGAATGAAAAGGCGAAAAGTGGGACCCAGTGTGGATCTTTCATCACAGAAAGTGTCAAAGGAGGAAAGTACACAGCATATGAACACAAGTCAATATTCGAATTTGATGCCTTCTGTTTGGATTGATATTGAAGTTAAGAGACATGATGATTGGTTGGGTACATGAAGGGTTTTAGAGCTTCTTCAGACAGCTTAATGACGATTTACTGAAACAAGAAGGTGACACTTTATGGCAATGTAGTATTAGGGTATATAATTAGGGAAAACCTCTTAATAACAATGTACAATCAGATGCCTTTAATATCAATGTATTACAATTTTTTGACATGAAGTTATTGGATGAAATTGAATGTTTATATATATATATATATATGTGTGTGTGTGTGTGTGTGTGTGTGTTTCTATATTTTTGTACTATGTGCAAAAGAGTATCGTAAGGCAGGTCGTATATGCATATGATAAATGGTTGCTGAAGTTTACGACACACAAATGTGTGTCATCTTCATTTATGACAGGGGCTTTAATGATACGCAATGTGTGTCCTAAAGGCGCTTCGTAAGGTTATGAAACACAAATGTATGTCGTCTTCCTTTAAGACAGGGCCTTCCTTGATACGCATTGGGTGTTGTAAATGAGCGTCGTAAATGCGTGTCGTAAATAGACGATGCGCAAAAGCGTGTCGTCTCTCGTTATGATAGGGCCTTCCTTGATAGGGATTTGTGTGTCGTTTGAGCATTTTACGACACGCATTACGCGTCATAAAAGGTTGTTTTTCTAGTAGTGATTCTATGTGTAAATCCATCCTACTCGTTGAGTAGGTTCATGCACTCAACGAGTAGGAGCCCTTGATTGCATATTTTCAAGTTTTGCTGCTGGAAATGGACTAGAAACATTACCCTAAACTGTTTTGGTCTTATAAAACTTTATTTAGATGGTGTAATGGTTATGTTAATCCATTTTCAATGGCTAATATCAAAATTTCAAGTTTGTATGGTTTATTTATGATTCTTGAAATTGTTGATATGAACATTCATGAACTTATGAGTTTTGAAGATCATAGGAATTATTTGTAACTTGCTTGTTAGTCTGATTCTTGATCTTGATGTGTTTTAATGGAATCCATAATTTGTCCTCAAGTTATGGATTACCAAAAGTCACTCTTTTAAAGTCCATTATGAAACACATAGGTTACATAAAATGAAAAGTCTCTCATTTTAATAAACTAATAACTCATCAGTTATGAAAGACGAAAAGGTTTGAAAGTTAGAAAACTTGTCCTCAAGTTTTGGAACATGTAAAGTCACTTTAAAAAGCTTTAGTTTCAACCCCTAGAATTTTAAAAGTTCAAATTCAACCCTTATACTTTATAATATTATAAGTTAATAATATATATATATATATGTATGTATGTATGTATGTATGTATGTATAGGAGCAAGTCGTTTTAGCGTTAGTAGGCCTCATTCACGAAACCGGTCTATAAGGGGGTATAAGGTTGTTGCCTATAAAATGACAGTTTAATGGGTGTCCACTCTCACCCACCGCTTCCTTGACTGGTTGAGGGTTGTTAGCTGAACGGGTAGGACAATGACTTTAATCCTCATTAAAAGTATGATGATTATAAAGTAACTAAATGTTTTTATAAATTCCTAATCTTAGTTACTTTAGGAAAATGTGAATAAGGTGCTAACCCATGAAATTACACTTTGCACTTTGCTTAAGTTGTTAGTGGAGTGTGTGTGGTTAACCGGCACACTAACTTGGACTTAACAAGATAGGCAAAGGGTGGCTTAGGGTTTATCATAGGTTGGTGGAGCGCGTGTTGTTAATCGGCACATCGATTGAGTGATAAACGTTAAGAGTACCAAGTAATTTTCATGGTTACTTCGCACCTGGTTTGTGATCCTTGGCATATCAGTCACAAAACTTGAAGGGAACACTCGAGATTGAAACATGCCATTGAAAAGTTCAATGAATCTCAATGAATCTAGGAGTTTCAAAACCAGTTAAAACCTAATAATTTATTTCGTTTTTCATGGTGGAAATTGGTGAATCGTCATTCACCTACCTTCGAATATTTTATAGCTTGGATTACGGCATCCCTCTTCTAAGTTATAAAATATTGTGTTGGGTCCTAGCCTTAATATTACATTTGGGTGTTTTATTAAGGACTATCTTTATATATAATCTAAATTTGTCTTTCTTCTTTTTCAAATGTCTTCCAACAATGTTGCTTCTGACTCAAACCCTATCGGCTCCTGCTCTCTCATGAACCTTTGTGGAAAAGTTATCTTCGATGGTTCCAACTTTATGGATTGGATCCAGAACATCAGGATGGTCACTCGTTATGAGGACAAGCAATATGTCCTCGACAAGGAGCTTAAGGAACTTGATGAGTCATCTACTACTCATTAAGAGATCGCTGAATTTTGGACACATGAGAGAGATGCCACTAAAGTGGCATATATCATGTTGGCCACGATGACAGCTAAGCTCCAAAAGTCCTATGAGGACTATTACCCTTTTGAGATGCACCGGGACTTGATCAACCACTACCATTAAAGTGCTCGCCAAGAGAGGTATGGCATCATCTACTCCATGATAAAAACTCAAATGAAGGTTGGTAAACCCATCACGGGCCACTTACAGAAAATGCAAAGGTATGTGGACCATTTGCTGAAGCTAAATGTGAAATTTCTCGAGGAGTTGGCAATTGACATCATTTTGCACTCCTTTCCATCATGTTTTGATCAATTCCGAATGACATACCACATGAACAAGGAGGAAGTTATACTCAGCAACTTTGCAGGAGGTTAAGTCCTAGCTTGGGAAGTGTTTCACTATGAAGGACCTCCGAGAAGCTGCTTATATCCTAGGGATAAGAATTTTGAGACACAGGAGTAAAAGACTAATTGGACTTAGTCAGAGTACCTACTTGGATAAGGTGTTGAATAGGTTCAGCATGCAGAATTCCAAGAAAGGAGAGTTACTGATCCAGAGTAACGCCTGACTGAGTAAGACTCAGAGCCCGAGTACAGAGGCTGAAATAGTTGAGATGATTCAAGTACCGTATGCTTCCACTGTAGGCTTGATCATGTATGCTATGAATTATACTCATCCTGATGTGGCTTTTGCATTGAGCATGGTCAGCACATATCAGGGGAACCCTAGCAAGGCTCACTAGACTGCGGTAAAGAACATTCTCAAGTACCAACGGAGAACTCTTATCCTCAATGGGAGTAATGACATGAAAGTAGTAGGGTATAGCAATGCTAGCTTCTAGACTTATATGGATAATTTCCGCTCTCACTCAGGCTAGGTCTTTACATTAAACGGAGGATCAATTACTTGGAAAAGTTCCAATCAGGAGATAGTAGCTTATTCAACTTGCGAATCAAAGTATATAGTAGCAAGCGAGGCAACAAAGGAGGCTATATGGCTAAAGAACTTCATTGGATACCTTGGAGTTGTAACGACTATAAAGGAGCCTATGGAAATTTTCTGTGATAGTGAAAGTGCAGTTACCTTAGCCAAGTAACCAAGGGATCACGGAAGATCTAGACACATCGACATGAAATACCATTTCATCAGACATCGAATAGAAGAAGCACTCCTCGTGGAAAAGAGGGTATCATCGGATAAGAACCCAACAGATCCCGTCACGAAGGGACCGGGTAGGGTTAAGCATCTCCAGCATGCGAGGCGCATAGGGCTAAAGGATGATATTAGTTTTAGTAGTTAGATTGCTTTGAAATTTGTAAAGTGTAATTGACATTTGATGATAAATAAAAGTTTTTGTTTATTTATAAGTATAAGTGTTGTTATCTTTTGACTATCATTTCATTTTGCATGTTTTGACTTCCAGAATAATTATGTTATGGTATATCATATTATTCAAATTCTCCACAGTTGGTCATATGTTAGAAGTAGATATGAATCAAGACTGTCATGAGTTGGCTTGTAGATGTCTAAGTTGTTAGACATAGCAAGAGGTGCTACAATACTCGTCAGTGCTCATAAGTTCTGAGTATTGGATTCAACCCACGCTCACTTGTATCACTTAATGGAATTTATCTCGGGTGATCGTGAGACGGTAATATCATATAAGTCTTCAAACCTAGAGATATGAGTTGTTGACTATGAGTTGGTTATACATTGATTGTACGAAAACGCATTGGAAACTCGATGTTATAAAATGTGCCTTTGTGTATAATTCAACGAGTAGTAGAACAAGCATATGAGTCGAAGATTATCTGTTCCTTCTTGGATTAGAAGCGATATCAGGGCCCCTCGATGATTTTGTTTTGACCTATGTACCAGGCCCGATGAGAACTAAATTGATGTGTTCGATTCAGTTC